AGAATAATGGCTATTGTGGAGGGGAAAAAATAGTTTCGAAGTTGTTCTGAAACCACAAAATACTACATCGAAGGTTACAATACAGTGTATTTATTGCCAAGGTAATTTCCCCCTCACTGGAATAATAGAATTGGGCAAAATACAATGTTAGGGGGAAAAAAACACAAAGAAATTATACAGTTGAACTACCACATACACTTTATTTTAATTATTTTAAGGCTGTGGGCCATAACAAGTAAACTAAATGCCTCCAGCCTTTCAAAAGCACCTCTTCCTTATGCTTTGCCAACCCCTCCAAGAGACTGCTTGCCAGTCTTGGTGCCCCTGTGTGTATCTCCAGCTGGCTTTCCAATTTCTTGAAACTATTTGAAAGAAACCATTACATCTTCTCAGACTGAAAAATTTAGTTGGCATAAAATTATCATATGATTTCAACACCTCCTCTTTCCATGGTGCTCCTTCCAAAACTATTTAACTAATTATCCTTTTAAGGACTTGGCCTAAACACAATCACAGCTTCTTTGTTGAAACAATTTCTCACCTTTTAAAAAAATACTCTGGCAGGAATGGCTTGGTTTTTATTTTATCATGTTTTATTTGTATTAGGTGTTTTTTTTCTTTTTCCTGTGGATAATACTTCTGGAGTCAAATCCAGTCCTGTGTGTTTATCAGATTAAATCCAGGGACCCCATCGTTCCTGGCAGGACTGGCTTCATGGGACATGGGGCCTGTGCGGTCACACACGGCCCCATGCTTAGAAGTGCCCTGTGCTTGGTTTAATGCTCTGATGTCACTATCTGAAAATTCCTAATTTTTGAGCAGGCGCCCTGCATTTTCATTCTGCATTGGGACCTGCAAATTATGTACCTGGCTTCAGGTAACACCGTAACAAATCCCAGCCAGAAGTCCCTGCTCCATGGCCTAAGTAGGCCATAATGGAATTCCTCTCAGGAATCTGGCCAGATCCTGAAGATATTCAACTTCCTAAAGAGACATTTTTCAGAAGGTTACTACAGATTTGTTTCTTAGCTGGAGTTAACTTTCAAAAGACCAGGTAAGTAATGGGAGGAGGATAGGGAGCAATCTTAGAAAATGCTTTGTGAGTTTTTTTTTTTAAGTGGGACACAGCATCTTGGGGGTTTCTAAACAGCAGGCCTGAATTAAGCTAGAGCTATATCAGCATTGGGTATCCCAAAGGAAACATTGCCCTCCTGTCCCTGAGCACTTGGATAACAAAGGGAAACCTCCATTGGTTACACACACACACACACACACACACACACACACACACACACACACACACACACAAAATTAAATAAACGGTAGGCCTGAATTCTAAACACCACTCTCTCTGAATGTATACCATTGTCAGTACTGAAAAGCAAATAAACAATTTTAACTTGATCATAGCTTAAAAAGTAGAAGAGATTTTAGAAATCATGTAGATCAACCTTTTCGTATTTCTATTTTACCAGCAACATCAAGATAAAAAAGTCCAAAGGCTCATACATAGTTAGGAGTTCAGGAGTGAAGGAAGTCAAGGCATTCTGGTCCCCAGTCCAGGGTGCTGTCAAACACACCACTCACCCTTTGCAAAACGAGGTGCCCTGCACATACTTGACAGAGGCACAGTTGTGATGTTGCCAAGGAGGGGCCCAGGACATCATCCACACACTTCTGTACAAAGTATCCCTCCATAGATAGCACCCAAGAGCCTGTCATACTAATTATGTGAACACCAACGCCAGATTCTGCCTGGTTGGCCTGGAGAATGGTGTTCGCTGTGGGTCTACATTGCTGTAAGGGGGAGCAGAAGTTGACAGTTATAAAGCATACTTTTCAAAGTATTTTTTTTCATAGAAAGTGTATATTGTGGCTCTCATTCTATATAATCCTATATTTTTGACTTGTTTAAATATTGCTGGTTCTGAATAATGGTCCTGTCTTATTTGTCAGTAAATGTGGCATATGATGCCCCCAAAACACAAAACACATTTTTCTTTTCCAGACGCTTTTCATTTTATTATTGACTTTTAAGGGGGGGGGTGTCCTTTGGCTATAGATAAAATTTGAGAACAGTAGAAAGAGTTCAGTTCTGGTTTTGTTGTGAAGTTAGAGCTCCCTCCAGTGATCTCTCTGGCTGACTGAACTTAAAAAAAAAAAAAAAAAAAAAAAAAAACCCTTTCTTTCCAACTGTTCTTCGATGCACACAAATAAATCTAAGCTTTAGCCTTCTCAGTGCAGATTTTTTCCCTTCTAAAAATTAAACTCAGCCAGTAAATACATGCATATTGATTTCTCCTAAAATCTTGTCAAATATCCATAGTCATTTACCCTCCAATACAGAATAGTTAGAGGGTAGAATCAGTACAATAAGATGTGGTCAAGAAACTTCCATTTTGGCAGAGACAATGTCCATGTGTCATTACATATAAACTTTTCTGACTCTGCAGGTGAGAGATAACTTTCACAGTTATTAGCAAACAAAGAAATTGGATAGGGTAAGTGCCTACCATTCACACTGGAATTGTTATTTATATTTCAGAGGCTTTTTAAATGAACTGAAATAACTTTTTAGATTTATCACAGCCACCTCCAACATTCCTCCTATAAACCACCTTCAATTTACTGGCTTCTACAAGCCAAGCATGACACTGCCCTTATCAGTGATGCCCCATAACTCCATCAACCACAGGTAGTACCTAAAGGGGATACATGAATAATTCATGAAACTTCTAACCTAGGGCCAAGTAGATATTAAAACACTTTTGACTGTGAGAAAACCAGTTATGATTTTTGTGATTTATTTAGTTGCTTGCTTATTTCTTTAATTCCTCTGAATACCACATTAGGTACTCCTTTGCTCAGTATCACAGAATCACAACCAAGGTAATTGGCGAGATGCTCTTTCAACCACACATTTGCTTATTTCCTCTCCTCCCTCCTCTCTTTCCTTCCTCCTCTTATCTCTCCTATTTTATATTTCTCTTCCTTTCCCTTCCCCCTCCTGAAAGGTTTCACTGAGGCTTAGCTTTAGAGCTGGTAACTACATTAAAGATAATCTGATACAATCCGCTTTGATTTTATGGAAGAGAAACTGAAGAAGGTTGAGAAGCTTGGCCAGTCATGCCAGTTTCCTCTTCCTTCTTCCTTTCTTTGCAGCAGGGTCTTTTTTTTTTTAAATAATTTTTTATTGTTATGTTAATCACCATACATTACATCATTAGTTTTTGATGTAGTGTTCCATGATTCATTGTTTGTGCATAACACCCAGTGCTCCACGCAGAATGTGCCCTCTTTAATACCCATCACCAGGCTAACCCATCCCCCCACCCCCCTCCCCTCTAGAACCCTCAGTTTGTTTTTCAGAGTCCATTGTCTCTAATGGTTCCTCTCCCCCTCCGACTTACTCCCCTTCATTCTTCCCCTCCTGCTATCTTCTTCTTTTTTTTTTTCTTAACATATATTGCATTATTTGCAGCAGGGTCTTAAGCTCCCATTTAGGTTCAGCAAAAACCCTGGGCATTTCTGATACAGCTGGCCCGGGGCTCACCCCAGTCCACGTCTACAGTTTGGGTTAATGGTCAAGGATAAGCACGCAACAATGAAACTAGAGATGGCAGAAATAGTTTTCCGTATAAAGAGATTTTAGAAAAGTAAGAATCTGGGGAAATTACATGAGCATGCAATATTTCAGAACTATGGAATCTGGTATTTTAGGTTTTCTTCTCCTGAAAAAATGCCTTGCTTTTGCCCCTTCAAACAAACCTAAACAAGAGAACTTGATTTGACATCACTTTTCTTGACAATGATGGTAATAACGTTGCATTTTATTTCTCTTTATACATTATACCTTACAAAGTTTTCTCACCTAGTGTTCCACTCCAGGTAACTGGAACATGATCTCCTTGAATCTCATGGACTAGTACTACAGGGCAGAATGTAGGGAACCAGTGGAGACCTCAGAGTGACCCTTTACATTTCATGCCACCATTCACTCAAGTTTATTGCATGGCTGAGTTCTACATTCATTACAATGTTTATGCAGTTTAAAGGAGATATCAAATTTAGCACTTGGGGGAAAAAGAGGTTATCAAGGTGTAGACAGTTAAAGCAAATTGCCTAGCCAAGAAAAATTGCTGCAGGCTCTATAGGAAGCCCAGGTGTTCTGTCACCATTGCCCACCGCCTGTAAGTCCAGCAGGAGGAATAAATCTAAGGACAGACCCTGCTGTTTAACCTGAGCGGCAAAGTTTCCTTTAAAGGAGTCCACCTACATGGGTCAAGATGTTAGGTGAGAGAAGGTTTCGGGAACATCCAGGCATCTTGCTAACCTGGGTAGTTTTGCCAGATGTAAGCTATTTTAGTGAGAAAGTAATTGAAACTCGCAGAGAGAAGAAAGTTCACTCGGTAGAGAAACAACGCAATGCCAGTTAGCCATACACTGCAAACCATTTCCCTAAGCAATAGAATAGCTTCTATGACAAAGGCAAATCAAACCTCTTACCCGATGCGGTGGATCTCAGATCTTAGGAAGCATGCACATCACTTGAAAAGCTTGTTAAAGTGCAGATTCTGAGACTGCCTCCTCCAACTTTCTTTCAGTAGCTAAAGTTATCTTTCCTTTAACCAGGAATTTGAGGTGATTCTGATGGATACTATGCTTTGAGCAACAATATGTAAATGACGTCAGTAAAATATGTATTCAGCCCAGGAGGAGGGTTGATGACCACTGTGTTACTTTCAATGACTTCTTTTGCTACCGGAAGAGAATTGAAGCAGCTCCATTCCTGCCTCTGCCCTAGAGAATCTCTTTAGCTTTCTCAGTGAGCATCAGTGACCTCATCTTTTAAGATGTGCTTAGCAGAATACACAAGGTTACAGGGAAGATTTTTTTTAAATAACTGTATGTAACACTGAAGTAAACTGTTTAAGGAAATTTTCCAGCGTCGCTTACAATGTACAGATACATACTTCAACTCAGAATTTACCATGTCTCCTGATCGAATGATGACTCCCACATATGCATTCCTTGGAAATTGGAACAAAATGAGTGAGAAAAAAAAATTACAATGTCTTTTCTCTTTTACTTGATTATTGAAAATGAGTGAAGTCAACTCCTCTAAAAGGGTAGTCCTACAGTATGAACTCCTCAATGAAGATGTACAAAAGTTACAAATGGCATCAATAAAAAACAAATAGCCCTGCAAAACTGAACTTAGTCCATCAGTGTGAGAAAGCAATGCTGCTAAATTTGCCCCAATTTTTCTAAGTGGTTTATGTTAACTTGGAAATTGAGGCCACGTTCTTCATGAAGATAAGCCAAAATAATAAGAGCAGGCATGCTGACCTAAGTAAAGATGAGAGGGCCTTGGACTGGGATGAAGAAATGCCAAGTGTGCGCTAAATCAAAGCTGAGTCATCTTAATACCTCAATCCCCTCATCCATAAAATGGGGATTAATAACGTTTTCCTCCCCTCAAGGGTTGTTTAAAAGGGATAACTAACAAAGTAAATGGCTGTAAATTATTTTGTAGGCCTGCTGTTGTTGCTGCCAAATAGGAACATTTCGATTTAAAAGCTGGGATCTTTAGAAGCTCCAAAATATTACAAAGCAAGTCACGTTTCATGGCTAATTTAAAACATTAGGGGTTCACATAAGTTGCTCATAATGATATTTTCCAATTCCCATGTTATTTGATGACTTATACAGCTTCAACTTTAACAGTTGAACCCAGCCATTCCTGTCTGGCCATGATTCTCTTTTATCAACACTACCAGCTCACATAACTGTTTATATCTTTGGGGGATTAAGCACTATTTTTTATCTGGACCTGGAAAGAGTAAATTCGGAGACGATAAGAAATTTCTGGTTGCAAGTCCAATGTGTTATTTATTTAGATCAGGGAAAGAGCTGTTATATACAGGTTTAGGAAGACTTTTTAAAGCACTGATAAAAATCTTTGTGTGTCAAATGGAATGGCACTGAAAATATTTTAATACCTTAAAGCTCTTATGAGTTGAACTAAACTTTCAGTAAAAGAGGCTGATTTTCCTTCTGGATTTTTGGCCTTCAAAAGACAAAAACCAAGCCAAGGTAAGGTAATATGAAGGTAAACAATATTTGTATACTTAAAAGGAACCAGAAGAATTCATGGAGGTGGTATAAAAGATATTCAGGGTTTGCCAAAAGTAATTTATACTAAGAATTGGTTAGGGTATTAGATAAAAAAACATACTAAGAATTGGTTAGGGTATTAGATAAAAAAACAAATTCCCAGACTCCACTCTAGTCCTCCTGCTCAAGAATCTTGAGAAAAAAGCCCCGGAAATCTGCATTTTCAGCAACTATCTAAGATTCTTGCTACATAAGTTATTGTTGGTGTACCAGCAACATCAGCATCACCTAAAACTTGTTAGAAATGCAGAATAACAGCCTCCGCTCCAGACCTGCCAAATCAAGATCTGTAATTTAATAAGCTCCCCCAAGGTATTTGTACATACATAGAAGTGTGAGAAGTGCTGCCCCAGATGATTCCTACATTCTAACAAGCTTGGGAAACAAGTGTAATGGAATGAGTCAGATGATTCAGGTTTGGGTCAATGCCTGGCTCTGCCACTAAATTCTGAACTTCCCCCTGCAAATGCCTGGAGGCAAAAAAGAGATTAAGTGTGAGTTCGGCACCACTGAACAAATCATCATTTTAACTGTGACAAGCCATCAAAGAAGTTCTTCTTTCAAGAAAAGAGAGAGGAAAGACTGAGTAGACAAGACTTGTTACTAAACAGCTGTTGAGGACCTACCATGGGGTAAGTAGGTTCCAGGCAATGAGAAAACTGCCAGCGCGCGCGCGCGCACACACACACACACACACACACACACACACACACACACACACACAGTGGCAGGCCGGAAAACCTGGTGCAAACTGAATGAAGTCAGTGCATTGGACCAAGGGCAATTTCCTGGTTGTGAGATTGTGCTAGTTATGCCAGGTGTTGCCACTGGGAGAAAGGTATACAGGGTCACTCTGCATTATTTCCTACAAGTGCATGTGAGCCTACAGCTCTATTAAAAAGTTAGGGGAGGGATGCCTGAGCAGATCACTCGGTTAAGCGTCTGCCTTCGGCTCGGGTCATGATCCCGGTGTCCTGGGATCGAGCCCCACATAGGGTTCCCTGCTCGGTGGGGAGTCTGCTTTTCCCTCTCCCTCTGCCCCTCCCCCTCATGCTCTCTCTCTCTTAAATAAATAAATAAATAAAATCTTAAAAAAATAAAACACTTGGTTTCCTGTTCCCTGATAGTAGATCTAATAGTTTTTATAATAGATTATTTTTCCCTTTCTTTTCTGCCTGCTTTGATTTATGCTGAATTAATATAGTACCTAGATTCAGCAGTGCCTGCATTATTGAATAGGATACAAGCAATGACATTTATACCCCATAGCATAATATAGAAGACAAGGAGATGCAGTCCAGCCTGCAAATTTCTTCTTTGATGCACCATCCACCACAGGCTACTGTTTTCAAAAATCACCTATTTTATTAGTAAGGACATTTGGAAAAGTTACTTACACTTCCCGAGGCTTAGATTTCTCAAACATGAAGTGAAGATCCTTATTGGGCTTGTACTTTTCTTTTGTTTTCCCCTTACTTTTTTTTTTAAGTTTTTTTTTTAATTTCAAAATTTATTTGAGAGAGAGAGTACAGAGCAAGAGAGGGAGAGAGAGAGAGAGAGAGAGAGAGCACGAACTTGGGGGGGGAGGGAGGGGGAAGCAGGCTCAGTAGGGATCCTTGGGATCATGACCCAAGCTGAAGGCAGATGCTTAACCTACTGAGCCACCCAGGTGCCCCAGGGAACCAAGTGTTTTAAAAGAAAAACATAACTCATTTTTAAATTTCAACCTCTTTCTTTCTTTTACACCTTAAAGTGGAAATATTTTGTTTCTTAAGAGTAACAAGCACCATATACCTACTCCAAATTGTAAATCAAATCAACAGAAAATCTTTTCATTTTGGAAGCACTACTTGTTTAATGTTATTTTTAAAAGTATTTCCAATGAAATCTGTTTACCTTAAAGAAAGAGAAAGAGAGAAAGGCAGGAAGGAAAGAAGGAAGAAAGGATAAAAGGAAAGGACGAGAGGAAAGAAGGAAGAAAAAAACTAATAAAAGAAGTGAACCATATATTCAGGGCTAAACAATACACTGGGCTCTATTTTTTTTTAAACGAGCACAGAACAAAAATAAGAAATTCATAAAGTAAACAACCAGTCAGTAGAGTTTTGTACAAAATGTTTTCCCTCAGCACGGGGATACACATTCTCTACCTATCAAATTGGAAAATATATCGTTAAAAATTGTAAGTTCTGCTAAAGATGTGGCAGGATGAAGCTATCTTATACTTACTAGTGGAAATGGAATTGGCATAGCCGTTCTGGAATATCCTAGCTAGTGTGTCTCCAAAGTGCAAAGACTTCTATGGGAGGACATTTATCGTGTCATCTAATAGTCAAAAATTAAAAATAATATTAATGTTTAACAATTATCCATTAAATTATACACATCATAATAGAATGATAAGTCATTTAAATAATATATTTGAATAATATTTATTGACCTGGAAAGTGATCATTATGTTACAAAGAAATATTTTAAAATACTAAGAATGGTGATTTCTAGAAGGTGAATTGTTATTTTCTTTAAACAGTTGATTTCTATATTTCTTTCAATAAACATGCTTTAATTTAAAGATTACAAATAGATGGCTCTGAGGTCTTCATTGGAAGAGGAAAGGGGATCTTTCTGGGAAGGTGCCTGTCTCTGTGATTTCCGTTTTCCCCACTAAGTTAGGTAACAATGGATAGAAAAGGAAAATAAAGAAGGTCAAGTAAAGTTCAAAGATTGGGAAAAGGGCTGGAGGTGTGTCCCCAGCCAGAATTTCTCGAAGATGATGAGTTATGGCCAATGAAGAAACCAGGACTGTCAGTCATGTGAGCTCTGCCTGCCCAGCCCCTTTGTGACCACCTTTGGTAAAGAGTAAAAAGGTGAGATCTTTCCCATTCATCGGTGGACTCATCCATTTCCATGCTTTTCTGTGTTTTCTTTTCCCTAAGTTTCTTATTAAAAGTTTGTGTCTAAAAGTTCCATCTTGTTTTGCCTTGTTTTCCCCATCTTGGTCAGGCCAGATGAAGAGTAGAGTTACACGTGTGGGAGGCCAATGAGACAGTGGTTTCAGTTGACACCCCTGCCCGAGACCAGGAAGGGGCACTTGGAGACGGGGAATACTGAAAAGGTTAGCTAGCTACAGCTGCAGATGTTGCTCCCTTCTCCTTTTGGACTTGGCTTCTGGTTTACACACACAACAAGCTAGACTGGCAGTAATTTACAGTGTCACAATAATACTGAAATAAGGGTGTCATTCAATAAGACATCAAAGGAGTTCTTGAACAAAAATGGATATTTAAGCACCAAAAGTCTGTTTACTTCTTAAGTTTTTACAAGGCAAATGTTTGGAGTCTGTGTATGTACATGAATGTATGTGTGCAGGGTATCTGTGTGGGCTCAACAAGGAGACTTCTTCCCTCCAAATGAGCATAAAACACAGAGGACTCCAGCTCTAATAAAAAGTTGAACCTCTTCTTGAACACAAAAATTCCTTTTTAGCAAAGAGACCACTCAGCTCAGGGAGAAGAAAAGGACAAATACAGGCAGTTGCTTAAAATTTAGCCCGACCCGCGATAACAATCAGGGCCTGCGCCTTCCTCCTCCACGTCAAAAGGCAATGTCGTACACTGTCTTGCTCTGAGTCCCTCGGGGAACTGGCACACACATGAATTCCCATTATACTATAGGTGAACACAGGAAATAATTAACAGCTGTTGAATAAAACCCCAAAGCAGAACACTTAAGGGGAGTAGAGAATATGGGGCCGGGAGGATAAAAACTAGGGAGGGGAAGCATCTCCTAGTTGTAATTGCTATTATTTCTGTACAAATAGTTTATAGATGGTGTTCTATTTTGATTTCTGATGAAAAATCAAGATGTAAATAAAGCCAAGACATGCAACAGTAGTCAAGTCTTGTCTGAGAACATTCAATA